AATATATGTGTTTTTCGACCGTGATACTCTCTTACACGCAAGTGTTAAATATTCTGGGCTCAGCATATATGCCTTTTTCGCAAGGCTGCATGGTTTTTGTTATTGCCGTAGACAACAATTTTATGTGTTTTGTTATTTTAATGGTGGTCTGTGACTGAATATATTCGCACAGGTTTTTATCGGTCGAATGTCTTTATTCTTATACTTATATGCAGTTAGCTGCGCCTATGTTTTTTTATACTGCCGTGAGTAGCTTATCCTTATACGACTGAATTTGTCAGATTCTGTGAATCACACTTGTCGTGTAAAATTGCGACTACGTGTCAATCCAGATTCAAAGCTTAGATTCGATCGAATTGAATTATCTGTACACATTCTGTATGCTTAAATCTACATCCCTTAAAATAGTGCTCATATGTATTGCTGCAACTCTTCCCGTAGCAATTTACGAGCGCGAGACGATGGTTGCCCACTGCAACAAATCGTTGGAATCATTGAACTTAAAGATAGCCAAACACATGTGTGAGAGCACAGGCCGACAGTACTATGCTCTGGTGAACGACCATCACGATCCAATATCGGGTTTAGCAGCCCGATTGCAACCGAGACAGGTGGAGCTGTACACTGTCATTGTAAGTGGAGTATACCGGCAATTTGGTTAGTTAAATAAATTCTGCAGCTTGGTTTCATCATTCTGTGTGCGTTAAGTATCTCTGGTTATTGGTCCCCTGTCTCTTATTCACTATATTTGTGCTGTTACGTAGTGTTAGAAATTCTCCGTGGAGTATATGTTCTCAAAAGTTCATACGTACATGGAAGTGTCACGGTCAGAGCCCGGTGCACCCCTTCGTCCGTCACGAGCACACACTCTTAGCAAGCACGTGCATCTCTGCACACAAGCTGCTGCTGCTGCTGCTTTCCTGCCATTTCCTCTGCTTAACCCAATCCCACTTCCTCTTGACCCCTGTTTCCGAACGCCTTCTTAGTGTGCCTTATGACGGACAGTGCTAGCACTTGGGCTTGATTCTCACTTAAACCGTACGTGGCCAGTGGCCAGGTCGTAGTGATGGTACCGCTGTTTGCGTGTATGCACCTCACCAAGATGCGTATTGGAGACTTATCAGTGCGTACCCGTGAGTGGATTTACTTGTGTGTGCATGAGTTCGCTATACTGCCTTGTGGACTGTACTGCACGTTAGTATTCTAATTGATTCTCAGTAACTTCCTATACACACTGCTACTAAACTTTGCCTTCCAGCCGTAAGTTTAGCATCACCTGTTGTCACTGTGCACCCTTACCACTTTAACCGATAAAACTTCCGTCAACCCCAACACTAAACACAGTTGGCTATGATTATCAACTCCGATGAGGGCAAGACCACCACTCTCGAAGTGCTCAGGAAAGGTGACACACTGGAAAGAAAGTTCGCCACCAAGTCCGAGATGGAGGATACCATTATGTACTTGCTCAAACACGCCTGGCTGGAGAAGGATGATAAGTGAGTGGGTGTGAATGGATGTGGCTGCAAGTGGTATGCGGGTGTGTATGCGTAAAAGTGGGGATGGTATCGCATATGCTCTATTCTGTGTATGGGTGATCATAACCAGCTGTGTTTAGTGAGTGATGACGGAAGTTTTATCGGTGGAAGTGGTGAAAGTGCACAGTGACAACAGGTGATGCGAAACTTAAGGCTGGAAGACAAAGTTTCGTATCAGTTGTATGTGGTATATTGATGCATTGTGACAGTTTGCGCCAGAATGGTCCATACGCGCTCTTACCTACACGTATACTCCGAATTTCGTAGCCCGCAGCGGACAATGTCCCTCCACCCGAGACCTTCAATATTCATTGTTTACTTGCAAATAGGTTGTGCTATACATATTTGTTCTGATCCTTGATAGGAGTATTCATCTGTCTCATTTCTATACTTAAATTGCAAACATCTGTATACTATCGGCACTGAAGAATTTCATCCTAAAACACTAAGTAATTTGGCTTCTAGGCATTGGGGACATATACCATAGCTTCACACGTCACAGCTGATCGCGGACCACCATACATCTAGTCTCCTATTTGTTCTTACTCTCCTGAATGATTGTATGTATCAGGCTGAATCTCATCCTGGGTGCACGTTCGCATATGGAAATGTCGGTTTGGATCCGAAGCAATCTTAACAGTCCTGATGCGAAAAAATGTGGTCTCTGCAAACACATGGCCATTCTGGTACGTAACCTTTCATACTAGTTTACCGGTTATACCGTTTTGATATCAATTTCCACATCTGTGCGGGAAAGTGTTTCACGACGCCTGCTATGTGTGCATAAACATGTATCACGAGCCCAACACATTTGATGTATTGAACTGTATCCAATGAAAAATTGAATTATAGTTATATATATATACATAATAATGAACGTTAAATTATATAAATACGAATATAATAATGAAAGATTAAACTATAATCATATATATATATATATATATATATATATTTATATATATATATGTATGTATGTATGTATATGTATGTATCTGTGTATGTTTGTATGTATGTATGTATGTATGTATGTATGCATGCATGTATGTATGTATGTATGTATATATACATATATATATGTATACATGCATACGTATATGTATGTATTTATGTTTATGTGTATTTGTGTACGTATATATATATATATACCTACTACGTATATATATATATGTAATTTATATATATATAAATATAATTTATATATATATTTATATATATCTGTATATATATATTTCATTCATATATATATGTATATGTATATATATATATATATATATGTGCATAAATGTATATATATTTATATATTTATATATATATCTATATATATATGTATGTATGTATGTATGTATATATATATATATTTATGTATATTCATATATATATATATACATATACATATACATACATACATACAT